GCAATACAACTACACTTTCTGGTACTCCAGGAGGACCCCCGGCCGGCCCACCAGCTCACAGAGCTACGAGCAGAACATTAAGCAGATTGGCACCTTTGCCTCGGTGAGTAAGTAGCTGGTGGTGTACGGGGGTGGGGGGGTGGTTAGTTAGCTTTCTGGTTCTGGTGTCCTTACGCAGCTGGTCTGTCCCCGGAGCCAGATGGGGCCCTTCATAGGTTTCCCATTAGATTCCCATCAGGCTCTGGCTCATAGCAACCCTGCGCCACAGACAGAACTACCCGAGGGTTTCCAAGGGTGTGTCTTTACCGGGGCAGGTCGCCACGGCTTTTCTCCTGCAGAGCCGCTGGTGGGTTCACCCTTTCGGTTTGCCGGCGAGTGCCTCCCCTGGCCCACCAGAGCCCGTCCCAGGAGTATGCCCAGGGCAGTCCCAAAGGACAGGTGCTTCCAAAGAAAAGTAGAGATCCTCTTCCTAAACCCAGTAGACACGGTGTCAGTGAACCACACAATTCTGACAGTGCTTAGGGGTTAGGGTGGGGTTTTGTGCCAAGTCCTTACTAAGCAAAGTCCCTGGGGAGTCGGAGGGTAAGGGGTGGGGTCTGTCCTCCTAGCAGTGGAGAGTGAGAGTTCCGAAAGCTTTGTTATGAATGGCTCTCGCTCCTGGTAAGGTTTTGGATATGTTGGTGATTACACATAAGGGAGCGTCTCTTCCTGAATAGGGTGCCCAGGCTCCATCCTGCCCCCCTCAGAGGTGCTGGGTTCACTAGAGCCATCTTACTCGACTTTTGGTGTGCCGTGCCTTCCGTCTCTGGGCCGGGTTTGCCGTTTCCTTGAGTGATTGAGGAATTTGTCCTGGAAGCGTGTGTGTGAAGAGGAAGGGCAAGGCAGTCCCCCTCCATCATCGCCGGAGCCCTGGTGGCCCGTGGAGTTAAGCGTCGGGCTGCCAGCCCAAGGGCAGCGCTTTGAAGCCGCCAGCAGCTCTGGGAGAAAGATGGGAGCTCTGCCCGTGAGCACAGCCTCGGACACCCCCGAGCACAGCCTCGGACACCCCCGAGCACAGCCTCGGACACCCCCGAGCACAGCCTCGGACACCCCGGAGCACAGCCTCGGACACCCCGGAGCACAGCCTCGGGCACCCCCGAGCACAGCCTCGGACACCCCTGAGCACAGTCCTCGAGGGACGCTTGATGAGGTCGGGGATGTGCCCACAGTTGGAAAGGAGGAGTGTGTTTGGGGTAAACGATCTGATCCACTGTTCATGCTCATGGAAGTACTTTGAAGAAATCTAGCGATGCATTGCTTTAGGTGAATTTGCTGAAGAGCGGGGATGTCGCTTTGAAGACTGAGGTGCGCCTGACCCAGGCCATGGCATTTGCAGTCACCTCCTGTATGTGAAAGTTGGGCGTTGGATAGGGGAACAAAGAACGGCTGTGTTTGTGAAGAACACGGAGAACAAGGTGCCCAGAAGAATAAAGGTCTGCCGTGGAGCAAGTAAGGGTGCCCTGACTCAGGACCGAGTCTCACGTCTTTGGACGTGTCGTCAGGAGAGGCAGGCCCTGGAGAAGGACATCCTGCTGGGTCAGGTAGCAGGGCAGCGACCCTTCAGTGAGATAGACTGGCACAGCGGCTCACACATGCGCTCACTTGTGAGGATGGCGTGGACAGGCGGTGTTTCCTTATTTTGTGCGTAGGGTGGCTCAGAATCACAGCAGACTCCAGGGATTTAACATCTGCTTTAGAATCTGAAGTCAGGGTCCACTTGATGAAGCGGTGGGGCCAGTGTAAACACTTCAGCTGGGCACGCTGTGGAAGTCGAAGTCTGAGGCCCACGCTCTTTCATTCCTCCAGCACACCAAACTGCTTGCGATGATCTTGAACTGTGTTTATCAGTTAATTGTTAGCAGATTTATTTATTTCGCTGGTCATTGGATTGTCTCGATGTGAGCTCAACAACCTTGCTACATACTGTGTTGACACAACTCCAGCCAACAGCTTATTGTTGAAATTGACCTTGCCATTGGTTAAATTTAAATTTAGTTTTTTGGAAATACTTAATTGAGCTTACATACTGATGCATATTTAGGTCAAGGAGTATTTACTAAATAAATTCAAGGCCTTACAATGAAAGAAGACCCAAGCCCTGCCTGCAGGCAGTGGTGTGGACATGCCCTGGAGTGTATTGTACATGACTAAGCCATAACAGGGCGATCAGAAAGGTATGTCTTGTGTGCTCAGAGGAAAGAGGAATTGATTCCAACTTGGGATACAGAACATCCTCTTGGAGGAGAATGTGAGCAGGTGGGAAGAAGAGAGAGGAATTCTTGATTAAAGGGACAAGAATTTATGAATTTACATGGACACACTATGTGTGCAAGAAGAGTGTTTTCCCTTTCCACTTGCTATGGAAGCTAAGTGTGTGTTTGGAGTCTTGCTAATCACAAGGTTGGCAGTTCAAACCTACCAGCTTCTCAGATGTGGTCATCTCCTTCCCTAAAGACTTACAGCCTTGGGAACCACGTGGGACAGCACTTCTCTGTCTTGCTAGGTGGTAGAGAGTGGGTTTGGTTTAGCTTTGGTGAGGGTGTGTCGGGCAGGGCAGGCGGCTGGGAGCCTGTCTCCTGGCTGTGCTGGTCATCTGGCGTCAAGTCGTGGCAGCAGGCTTGTAGCTCTTGTGCAGACGACGAGGGCAGGTGAGCTGAATGTGGACATGGCGCTGCCATGTGTTCTGTCTGTCAGTCAGCTGCCAGCTGCACAGGCTCTGGGCGATTTGACCCTTTGTCCCGCTTTCAGGTGGGACCTCACAAACCACGAGGGCCTGGAAAAGCGGGAGCAGTCGAGTTCTCTGTTTCCCTGCCTCACTCCGCCCCTCTAGTGGGCAGAGAGTGGAACGAAGCTTGTTCAGGAGACTGGGGGTTCTCCCCGGTACTTTCTCCCTACCCCCGCCCCTCTTGTCCTCAGATGGGACTGAGCAGCTGTGCTCACTCGGTGGGGGAGCCCCACATCACGGGTGCTAGGATGCACAGGCACCTCATGGAAGTTCTGCCCATGCCTGTCTTACCTGACTTCCTCAGCTGCCCCTGCTTCTCCCACCCCCCTTCTTTTGGTCTGGGGATGGGCTTCCCTTCACATATATAAAACAAACACTCAGATGATAACAGTGGGTTTTATGTGTGCCCCCCCCCCCAAAAATCTCAAGTCACTCCAAACTTTCTGTGCTCAAACTCCAAGCACCCCACCCTCCCCCTCCCCCTAGTGTTTCCCGCATTGATCTCAGATGTACCAACCACACCCCTCAAGGCCGAACCCCATTTTGCCAGCGTCTGAGCATGTCTTCATAGCGGCGGCGGCAGCGCCTTTTCCCCTGGGTGGGCTTTCCCTGCTAGCTGGGAGACCCACAGGAACAGCAGCACCACACGGTCCGGGGTCTCTCCTCACGTGCTGCGGGAATCTAGACCAAGTGGCCCTGTCTGTGGCGCCATCACCAGGGCATGTGGGCTTCCTTTTCACACGCGCCTCCTCGCTGCCCCTGCTGCCCTGGTCTTTGGTGTCTGTCGTAAAGGAATGGGACCTTATCTCCAGCCAAGACACTGAAGGTAGAAATAGAAATGGCCTGAGGAATGTAAGTGAGCTGCCATTTTATAGTTTTCCAGTGGAGTCATGAAGGAGGGGCAAGAACAAATAGTTGTTTTCCCAAAGAAAGAGGGCCCCTTCCCCGAGGACGAGAACCCTGTGTGCTTTGCGATGGCCTTGGTCTTGTCCTCGGCCTTGGTTGGGCGTGCAGCCAGAAGGAGAAGCTGCTTCATTTTATCTGGTCCTGTTGTTGCCAGTCAGACAGCCGTTGATCAAGAAGAGATTGGCTTCTTGTGTTAGGCCGGGTAGACTGGAGGAACAAATCCAGGGGCATTCGTACATGAATAAGAAAGAGCTTTGTAATAAAGAGTGGTTGTCCATTAAGAAAACATCCCAGCCTAGTCCAGATCAAGTCCATAAACTTGATAGTAACCCATGAAGTCCTCTTTGGACTCACATAGCACATGCAGTGGTATCACAGGCTGGTGGGTAGAAAATCCTGGGGGTTCCAGTGGCAGGGGGCACATCTCCTGTGGCTCTGGCTGCCATTAGTGTGGTTCTAAGTGGCTTGTCAACAGGAATGTAAAGCAGAGTGTGTGTGTGTGTGTGTGTGTGTGTGTGTGTGTGTGTGTGTGTGTCCTGCCTGCAGAGAGGAAGAGAGGAAAACTCCCAGAATCCCCATGAGAAGGCCATGCCCACGAGGAGCAATCAGTCTGGTTGTGACCTGATTGACAGGCTAGAATCCACCCCTATAACTTATTTAACAAGTTGACTTGAAATCATGTACCTGTCACACTTCTAAAGCATCATGCAGGCCGAGGCTCGGCACGCTCATTGTACAGAGCTGCACACCTCACCTGGCAGCTACACGGGGCTCCGGACAGTGTGGCGGCACCATTGGAGGCTCACGGCAAGGCCTGGGGAGGCTCCTGGTTGGGTGGAGGCTCGACAACCTTCTCCCCTGGGTCTCCCTGCAGGTGGAGCAGTTCTGGAGGGTTTACAGCCACATGGTACGTCCCGGGGACCTGACCGGCCACAGTGACTTCCACCTCTTCAAGGAAGGGATCAAGCCCATGTGGGAGGTGAGCAGTGAGGGTTGTCCGAGGGTTGTTGGGGTTTCTTCTTTCTTTAACCCTGTCAAAGCATTTTAATGTCATGGCTCAAAATCACCTCCCTGTTAGCTACCCCCTTGGAAGAGGGGCCCCACAGAGCCATTGCTGCTGGTTTCTGGGCTGGGGATGGAGGCATTTAAAGATGATTTGCTTGCTGGTGTGGTCTTAGAACAATAGTCAAAGATGGTATTTTAAAGTTACTCTATTCCCATAGAAGTGTATGCATGCATGCACACGTGTGTGTAATTAGTATCGTCAGACCAGCATCACCAGAGACCCTGAGCGAGGAAGAGACTTCGGTGGCGGTGCCCCGGGCTGCCTGTTGTCTGTCCTGAGGCCGGGGCACTTGGTCAGATGACAGATGTCATCACACTCACACATACCTGGGGCTGGCCAGTTAAAACCCTGCCTGGTTCCCCATGTTGACCTGGCCTTGTTCCTGACCTACCCAGCTTCCCATGCTGACCCAACCTGGTCCATAGTCTCCCTCACATTTCAGGGCCCACGCCAGCCTGCCAGTTGCTCTCATGCCTGTAGAGCCCCGCGCCCGTCACCCTCAAACCCTGGCTGAGGTGTCCCCTTCCCATGGGTGTTTTGTCTGTCCGTTCTCCATGTGACACACCCTACAGACCTCAGCATGTGGCACGCTGTGCTGCTCGAATCCAGTTCTTGCCCATCGCTTAGCCTGGGCCTGCGGGAGAGGGCCATGCCCTTTTGTCTGCAAAGCCACTTAGACATGATTTCTTAGTGTTGACATGCTCACTGCTAACCAGAAAGTTAGTTGTTCAGACCCACCACCTGCCCTGTGAGGGAATGATGTGGCTCTCTGCTTCCCTTGAAGCTAACATCCTTGAAAACTGTCCTGTGCTGGTGACTGCCCAGGGACAGCATTGGACTTTGAGTGGCAGTGAGAGAGGCCGGGCTGTCACCTAACACATGCTGTCCTTGTGCAGGATGATGCAAATAAGAACGGTGGCAAGTGGATCATTCGGCTGCGGAAGGGCTTGGCGTCGCGCTGCTGGGAGAACCTCGTCCTGGCCATGCTGGGAGAGCAGTTCATGGTTGGGGAGGAGATCTGTGGGGCTGTGGTCTCTGTCCGGTTTCAGGTAAGCCCCCGGGACCAGGCTCCTGTCCTGAGTGGTCTGTGCTGCCCTTGCCTCCTGCCCTTTGCTTTGACGGCACTTCTGTTTGTCCGGTAGGAGGACATCATCTCCATCTGGAACAAGACTGCCAGTGACCAAGCTACCACAGCTCGAATCCGGGACACGCTCCGCCGCGTGCTGAACCTACCTCCCAACACCATCATGGAGTACAAAACCCACACCGACAGCATCAAGTACGTGCTGGGCCGCCGGGCGGGCCCCTGGGTACAGCAGGCATAGGCTAGTGGTTGGTTGTCTGGGAAACTTGATAGTGGAGAAGGGACAGTTGGCCCTCCCACCATGGGAAGTGACTGTCAGCAAGGCCCCCGCCCAGCATGGCGGGCTCCACTGTGTCCTCTGTCCATGTGCAGCCTGTCTCGTCTTTCATTCGCTGGTTGCTGTCTTCTACGGGAGACAAGCACTCTTCTTTCTCTTGCTGTGTTTCAAGAGAAGGCCCTGCAACTCAAGCCTCCCCTCCCTGCTTCTGCATGTCTTTTAACTGCGGGCTGAGCTTCCGTCCGCTCTCTCTGTCCCGGGATGGACAGGGATGTCTTAAGAGGAACGGTGACTCCGCTTGTAGAGGGGCAGATTCTCAGGGAGCCCTCCTAACCAGATCCTGGGAGCTGAGACTCGCTGGCATAGCTGTGGCTCTGGGAACCGATGGCAGCAGGGAGTTGAGAAGATTCTCGCCAGCAGTTGCAGGGACCGACAGGCTGTTCCCAGCCCTGGGTGGGAAGCTCGTATGGTCCCACCCCTGGCCCCGATACCAGTCTGTACCTTTGGCAGGTCTCCGGGCTGCCCAGCTTCAGTAACCCGCTCTGGAGCCTGGGCAGTAATAATACCTGGAAGGGCTGGGGTGAGGCCGGTGGAATCTCGGTAGAGCGGGTGGAAGTGCCTCAGACAGGACATGCTGGTAGGGCCACATCGCTTTCCTGCCATTTTCATTAGTGGTGAGCCCATCAGCACATTGATCTCATTAAAGGGACCAGGCCAGCAACCGGGTACAGCAGGCAGTCACTGGGAGTGTGCCCTCCCAGCGCTCTCAGAAGTGGAGCTGGCTTACCCAGCTGGGAGCAATGCCGCTGGAGGTGGCCCAGCATGGTCACCAGTCAGTAGCCCCTGCAGCGTGGTTAGATGCTTGCCCTGTTGAGCACCATTTCTCTCCAGACAGGTTTGTCTGACTCTGAGCAAGTAGTTTCTGCCCTCCAGCCAGACTCGGTCCAGCCACACCTCCTTTTTCTAGGGTGCTTATTTTTGAGATTCCCAAGTGCCACCCTCCTCCACAGCCAGGCTTTTCACTGGGCAGACAGGGTAGGGTAGGACTTTGGCCTCTCCACTCTCGGCCCCCAAGGCTGTTTTTCCTAAGCTCATTAGAATCTCGGCCCCAGTCCAGTTCACTGGCTGGGTAAGCCAGGGGCCCTTTTGCCAGGTTTGCTGTCCCACCCCCGCAGAATTCGGGGAGAGTCAGTCTGCCCCTCCCCCAGGGGCCAAGAAGCCCCTGGGGACCCAGCCACCCCCTCCCCACGACTCTCTCTGGGCACTGCCAACGAGCCACCCTTTTGTACTTCCACTAGAATGCCAGGCAGGCTGGGCCCCCAAAGGCTCCCTTTTCAAAACCTCTGGAAGACGCGGGTGAACGTGCCATGAGCCTGCCCTTTCTGGACGGCACATCACTGAAGCCGCCACCACCGGAGGCCCTCGTCTCCTTGGCTGCTACCTGGAAGACCCTCGTGCACCGGACAAGCGGGATTGGAAGAGTGGTGGATGTTTGGCCCTCGGCTGCAGCCGCTGCTGAGATCACTTAATAAACGGTGCTAAACCAGCTTGTCTCCTGCTCTTGCTCTTTCTGGCGGGCACTTCCAAGACACGGCCTTTTCCGACAACGGGCGCCGCGTGAAGGGACGCCACAGACTTCTCTCGCAGGGCCATCCAGGGAGCTCCGGCTCCTTCCCCGTAGCTCAGTGTGTAGACCTCAAGCTGCTGGGGCCTGGCGGCCCACTGGGACTTCTAGTGCTCACGGCGAGACCAGTTTCTGGTACCTCCAGTTTTCCTCCCACCTCGTCACGTTCCCGGCCAGAGCAGAGTGGTTTCCGTCTTAGGATGCTGCGGGAAAGCTGGTTCCAGCTAGAGTGGGGGACCCTGGCCCGGGCTTCGCTGACTTTTTCCGGGGGCCTTGCCTTCAACGAACCCGCTTGCTCGGAGGTAAAGCCCGCTTCGCCTGTGTGTGTTCTGTGCCTCCGGCTTCCTTGCTTTGCGCTCACAGGGTCCTCTTGCTGGGCCCCCGCTACCCAGGCCACAGCTCTTTGCCAGCCTGTCCTGCTTTCTCTCCAAGCCCAGTCACCGTCCTCCGGGTGCTACCCTGCTTGCCAGCTCTCAAGGTTCCCGTTCTACCTCCCCAGGGAGGCGCCTCAGGAAGCTACCTGCATCCCGTTGCTCTTCTCCCCTGCTCTGTGGCTCTGGCTTCTCCGTGCTGCAGCTGGGCCCCTGGGCACCCCCCACCCACCCTGCATGTTGCTCTGCAGCCAGTCGCCTGATCCTCTGAGCTTCCTCAGAAGCCATGTCCCCACACCAGAAGGCAGCTCTTTGCAGACCTAGGGGCAGGTTGCCTGAGAATGTGGCTGTGGGTTGATGTTGAGTTGCCCAAAGTGGCTGTCCCGTTTGGCTGGTGATATCTGGACTCAGGAGGCGCCACAGGGCCTGGGTCCCAGCAAACCCGGGGGTCAGGGCATCATCGCTGCTCCAACTGTTGCCCACCCAGAGTGGGCCAAGAGCCTTGAAGACAGGAAGCCTGCTGGCTAGCGGCTGCACAGCCGTGTGCCACATTGTGTCGGCTGTGGTGTGACTGATCCTGGGGTGAGCCTGTGCTCCTGTGCAGAGAGGGGTTGGTCAGAGAGCCTCAGTTCCCTTCTCTTCTTGGGGCTTTGTGTGAGCCACGGCACCCACCGCTGTGGGGCCTCAAGGGTGTCAAGGGCAATGGTGGAAGAAAGCCGGCTTTGAGTGAGCCCCAGTACCAGCAGTGTGGGCTGCAGGCGATGACGAGAGTACCGTTGTCAGGCGTGGCTCCCCCTCAGGTAACCCTGCCATCCACCAGGACCACATGAGGTTAGCTACTGTTTCCAGTGTCCCTTGGTGGCTGAGCCCTGCCCCCCCAACCACACTGCTGGGGCCTTTTCTTGCTATTCCTCGGCGAGCTGAGGGCCGGTGAGCCTCCTGCGTCTCCCACTCTGAGCTTTGCTGGCGGTGGTGCCTGCCTGCTGGTCTTTGCCTTGTTTCTTTGCAGCAAACACAATCCCCCCCCCCAGCCCCACCTCTGAGCGAATGGGACCCCTTGAGTCATGGGACACTGGATGGTGTTGGGTCAAGATCAGTTCCCATGGTATTCTCAGAGGCCTTGAGAGACCCACCTAGAGCTGTAGGCCCACCGGGGACCAGACAGGCATGGAGTGTCGTCCCACAGCAGGGTCTCGTGAGGAATCGGGAGCAGGCCCAGTGGGGGCTTGGGGTGGGCAGGGAGCCAGTGGGACCACAGCATGGAGACTCCCCCAGACCCAAGGGACGGTGGGTGGAGTGGTAATTTGGCGCCCTTTCACCCGAGAGGAAAGTCCTCTTGGCGTATCGGCATCCCTTCTCTGAACCAGGGCTTTGAACTGGTTTATTCTGGTTTGACTCGAGCTGAGCATTTGAAGACGCTTTAAAAAGGTCCTGAGAAAAGTGGAGCTAGCAGAGAGTGGGAAGTGCCCTTGAACTGTTTGCATCCCTTCGTATACTGACTCAGAGCCTGCATTTTGAAGAGAGCCACTGTATCAGATCCCGCAGCACCAGAATGTCACACTGGGAGTGGATTCGATGGGGTTGGACAGAGGGTCGCAGTGAGTTGACTCAGCAGCACCTAGTATCACGGTCACCTAAGAGCATCGTCACCTGGGGTGCAAAGGCAAGGGCTCAGCAGGGGTTCAAACGGGAATGAACTCATTTAAGGCCCTGGTTTAAACATTGAACCCAGCCAAAGAACCTGTGCCCTATCCTGGCAAAGCCCTAGCCTGGTGGCCCTGGGGCACAGCAGCATGCCTTTGAGTTTATGAATCGCCCCTCCATACTGTTAGTCAAAGCAAAGAGATCCCAGGTGAACGGGGTACGTGGGCTTACCAGTGACTGAGGGCCACCTGAGTCAGGCCTGGTGGGGCGGGGGAGCACAGAATCACCCAGAAAGGAGCTCTTGGGCTCTCGGAATTTTCTTCCTGGTAAGTGAGATATGAGACAAGAGTGATCATTAGTTACTCTCGTTTGGATCTGCTTAAAATAGGCGATAGGAATCTCAGGGTAAGGTCTTTTCTGGGTTTTTTAGAAGCTGTAGTCATAGAACACTTTTAGCATTTAACCTCTTCTCTATATTTAAAAGAACATTGTGGTTATGATCTACTGTGCCCACAGTGCCAGGTGGAAAAGAGCATTCTCACCCAGCTTTGGGCGGTGGGCTTGCCTCTGAGAAGAAGAGGGATGGTATCGAGGACGATGACCAGTCAGTTTCTCCACTGAATGCACGAGAGGAAATTGACCCCGCTTCTTCGAGTTGAGGCTGAACACACTGAAGAACCAGGTGGTGCTTTAACGCCAGCCCCGACACACTGGGGTGCTGAGCTTCCTGCAGGGCAGGCCCTTCGCCCCCCAAACTGCTCCGTTTGGAATAGTGTAGGGATGGGCTTCCTGGGAAAGGAATAGAAGATGAAACATCTGCAGAGCCCTGTCCTGTTAGGGCACTAAAGTGTCTGAGAGAGAGTTAAGGATCTGACTTTGTTATTGTCTTCCTTTGAAGCCAAGAGTGGGTTGCCTTCTAAAGTCACCCACAAAAACCCCACAAAGGCATCAATCCCAGAAGGGGCAGGGAACCTGTGCTTGCTTCTGAAATGAAAAGGCTTCTGTGAGCTGGCAGGCTGGCGTGGCCCCATTTTTCCTGATTCTGGTTAGCATGGTACTAGATGCTTTGGTAATACTCTGAAGAGACCATTCAGCTTCGGTGCTGCCGCCCGCCCGCCCATGAGTGGGGAGTGTGGGTGAGCCAGGGGTCAGCATTGGGCCCAAGCTCCGTTTCACTTCCAGTGCCAGGGGAGTGTGTCCCGAAGGGGGATGAAAAGGCGAGGGTGAACAGGTAGGGAAAGGGGTCTTGGTTCTGTTGCTCACCCAGCCCCACCCCCACCCCCTAACTTCACCCCTTGGTCGTAGTCCTCTGTCTCTCTCAGACCTTAATTTGCAAGACCATGAAGGCTGTATTGAGCCTTGCACATGAGTGGCGGGCAGCCACCCCACTTCAGTGTGAACAGCCGGTCGCCTGGGTGTTTTAGGACCCAGAAGACCCGTTAGAAGCTGCGTGTGTGTGTGTGTGTGTGTGTGTGTGTGTGTGTGTGTGTGTGTGTGTGTG